TACCGAAGATCCGAGTTGAGCCTGACAATCAGCGAAATTCTTATAAACACCAACAACATCTCCTTTCCGCACAACAAAGAAAGCATCCTTCTCATGGTCCATAACTGTTGTTGGCTGAGGATCCTTCTTTTTCTTAACTGAATCTTTTGAACTCGGCTTTCGAGATGAGTAGCACTGAACGCGAAATCTGAGCGAGAGAACTTCTAAATGGAGACCAGAATGTTCACAGCTCCTTCTCCAAAAGGAAATACAAGATTGATGTGAAGTGGTGGCAGTCCTCGTTGCAATGAAATGGCTTGTTCTTCCAACTATAGAAGCAGTATATGAAGATAGGCGTGATAAGCAGTTCATTCCAATGTCACTTTCCTTGGATTATCTGAAAGACAATACTAATTTCCATCAGAACTGTTTAATCTAATAATGCCAAAAAAAGAAATTGTCCAAAGAATTTAGGCCTGTTTAGTTACAGAGGACACCTTTCATTTTCTCCTCCATTTCTATGTTTTTACTTCCTGTGGAAAATAAAGAAAAAGAAGAAAATGTATTCATTTGTTTACAAATAAAAACTCTTTTATATGAAAATGCATTTAATTTTTTTTTTCACATAAAATCGGAAAACACAAGATAGTAGTTTTAGATACAAATGAGGCATCCAGTTCTCCTAAATCATTAGTTCCCAATGTAATTGAGTCCATGATTCTCTAATTACTCCATATCAATATCCAATTTGTCAGCCAATTACTTAAATGATTTTGACCAAGCTGGAGGATAAATGGACTTTATATCTCATTTTCACAAGCTATATTCTAATGAACCGCAAATATGGATCAAGACACGCTAGGAACGATCGCCAATAAGTGAGTAGTTGAGCTAAATATATTACTAGAGCTGAAAAACAATAGGGCCTAAACTTGTATCCATGAGTAACAAACAAAGTGCTGGGACTGGGGGGCCTCAAAGAGACAAAACTTCAAGCATTTGGTGTGCATTGGTTCAAGATCACCAACCTTTCGCCACAGTTCAGAATGGATAGCACCAATCCCATCTTATCTTTGACAAAACCACCTAAAGAAAAACCCATCTTACAAACTCAAACTGAAAACTAAAACCCACGTCAATTTTTTCATTTCCTCTTCTATCAATGCTACAGACTGTTGTTGCAACCAAAAACAACTATAACAATAATCCACCCAAGGCAACTTTGTAAAATAAATAAATAACTTAAGTAGTTTGGATGGAAACGCGTATTTTCAAAATGGAAAACATGCGAGAAATGTGCCGTTGTTACAAAGGACAAATTTGGAGAAACTGGTTTGAATGCTTTCCACTTTTTAATTGAACATGAAATCCTAGTTTCGGAGAATTATTCCGGAACCAGCACTGAAATATTTTCTTTTCTTTTCATTTTCCTACAACCTCAGGAGCCAAACAGAGATGATAAAAGAAGATTGATATTGTTTTGGTAAGAAAGATTCCTTATCCAGCCAGAGAAAATAAAAAAATACGTAAATGGAAGAATCTGAAATAGTAAATAATAAATTATAAAAATAGTGAAGTGAAAGGATAAAAAAAAAACAAGAAGAAGAAGAAAGTGCATGAGACGATGAGATATCACCATACCAGTAGAGTAGATTATTTGATGGATGAGGGAGCTTTCTAGTTCTACTGTGATGTGAACGCGATTTGGTGACAAATCAGAGAGAGAAATAGGGAGAGGGTTTTTGATGGGTTTTACTTCATTTCTATCCTTCACCAACATATAGTTCCTACTTCTTATTAGAGGACGCTGCCCAATTCGTCGTCCCATTCCATTTTAGTAGCCTTTGCGCTTTCATTTTCGGTTTTTCTTTAAACATAAAAATCGAAAACCTGTTATTACAACCTTTGAAAATCAAAGAAAATGATTTTAAAAAGTTAGGGCACTAGTTTTCGATTTTACTTTGTAAAATAAAAATTGTAAAACATACATTTTTATTTTTTTATGTTTTCAAAAATTTGTATGCAATGCCAAAAAAAAAAAAAAAAAATAGAAACCACAAATGATATTTCATGTCATACACATTTTCTTAATAGAGGATTAAATAGTTTAGACTTTAACTATATATATCCACAAAGCAAGCTTTGACCATGGTGATTACAAGAAACCATGGGTAAGTAATAATCTTTTTTTTAATTAAAAAACCAAATATATAGATAAGCTAACCACGTGGTAAAAAAAAACATATTTTTTCATATTTTTAAACATTTAAAATACCCTAGTAATGAATTTGAAATCTTAATTTATTTTTTAATGCTATGTACGGTAATTATATACTTCATACTTCGATGATGAAGTAAATTATAAATTAATCCTTTTAATTTTGAGAAACAAATTAATTAGTTTCTTTTTAAAAAAATGTTTTATTTTATTTTTTTCATTTTGTATTCTTTCCTATTTGGTTTTTTTATTTAAAAAAATAAAATTTATGGAAAGATTAATATTATGAAAAAAATTGATGAAAAAAGTGAAAAAAAATAGAATAAAATAATATTCAATTAGGTATGTCTAATAGTAACCGATTGGTTAAATAATTAGTTTTTTTAAAATAAAAAATACTAATTAATTCATTGTTAAATATAAATAAATTAATTTATAATTTACTCTCTAAGTGTTGCATCGTTGTGGGTTTTTGTTTTTTTTTTTTTTTTGCCTTACAAAAAAAACCTTTAATTTAATATTTTGTCAATTAATAACGACAACAGCGTGTCTTTTAAGCGGGCAAGCAACATTTGAAAATTTTGGTTTCCTTTGTTTGGGCGTATATATTATATTCTAATAATTTGAAAGTCAAGAAACACATTAACAAAAACATAGAACAAGTAGAGTGTTTATTATTCAATCACTGCGTATTCACGCTCATATATACTATTTATTTTGTATTATTATAATTTTTTAAATTATCCACTTGGTATTATTGTAATTTTATCTGTGTTTATGTATTTGTGATTTTTAATCTTTGTTCACACATTTGATACAAAGTTTTAATAAATATTATACTTTTGTATCTGGGTTTTTTCAAAAACTTTTGTTCTTGTTCTTAACTTTATTTATGTTGCAGTTTAGTTCTTAATTGTAGAGAAAAACAAAGACACATAATCCAATAATAAAACTCATTCATGCCACTTTGACTACTAATTTTGATTTTGATTTATTGATGCTGAAAAAAATAATTTGTTTATGGTAGTCCTAAACCATGAAATGATCGAAAGAAGGAAATCAATACCTTATAATATTTACTTTAGTTTTTTTAATTTTTGAGTAAAAATATTTTTGATTTTTTGAATAATAATTAAAATTAAGAAGAAGAAAAAAGAGAGAATTGATTATTATACATGTGAAGATGAGTAAATTATACATTACTCTCTCATTTCAAGAAACGAATCAATTAGTTCATCTCATTTCAAAAACCAATTATTTTATTGTTTATGTTTTAATTACATCAGTAATTTAGTCATTTTGTCATTTTTCCTTAAAAACAATAATAAGATGTACTTAATGTAGCATTTTTTATTATTAAATTACCTTTCTTTTTATGTGTTATTTATCTCCTTCATATGCATCTCTTTCATCTCTCTCTCTTTGAGAACAAAAACAATCTTTATTTCTCTTCTTAAATCTCCATTTCTCATTTTATTATTCTCAACTCCCTTTCTTTCTCTTTAGGTATCGAAACATACCTTCATGGATGTATATACACGTTAAAGATTATTTTAGATATTAGTTATTAATTTGAATGATCTAGTAAAAACTTAACAATGAAAACTAAACAATTAGTTTTTTTTTTAAAAAAATAACTAATTAATTTATTATTGAAAAGAGAAGAACTAATTTATAATCTACTTATATGAAGGATATGCTGAGACCAAGCATGTATGACTTAAAAATATATATATATTTGTTAAAAAAAATAGAATCAATGTGTTTTATTTATTTTTATATATAATTAAAATTTATTGAAATCAATTTTATAAGTGTTTTTTATTAGAAACAGACTATGCATATGCACACAAAACACTTAACATTTATTTGTTTATTTATTTTTGGATATTTTGAAATTAATTTCTCTTAAATAAAATAATTAAAATTATGTTTAAAAAAAACACATGAAAGTACCATACTTTTCAAATAGAGTTTTTTTTATACTAATATTATTAATTATTTTGGATATATATATATATATATATATATATATATATATATATATATATATCATTTCAAAATTAATCTTCTCGTTTATATTCAATAAGAATAAATTTTATTTTATTTTTTATGCAATTTTTATATTAATTATTTTTTTAATTTTTGATGCAATCTTATAAAAAAAAATTATATATATATATATAGGATTTTTAATTAATTGAAATTTATGTTTTAAATTATTACAAATTTTTATTTAAGAATTCATACATTTAGAAAAAAAATCATATTTTTTTAAGAGAAAAATTTATTTAGAAAACATAAGGACGAATTAGGTATAAATTTTGATTAAAAAATCTTTGGGTGAAAAAAAAAATTACCTTTCATACAGTAGAATTCTAGTATGGTGATAACAAAGATCCAGGTTTCATCTTAAAAAGTCTGAATTATTTATTTTTATTTTTATTTTGTTTGGTCAATGACTACAAATGCTACATATGCCGATTAGTGATTTGATTTGATCGACCGGTACGAATTGCAGCTTAATTTGAATTGAAAATGTATTAATATAATCATAATTATTTCGTAAAAATAAAAATTAAAGTGTCAAAAAAAAAAAATTCTCAAGAACCATCAAATTATAATAAACTTTTCAAATTATTTTTCCCTATTCGCAATACATAGCGGGCAACTAGCTAGTTATATATCACGCAATCCTGAGACTTGACTGTGTCTCCATTTTCATTAAAGAGACCCGACAAAAATTACAGCTAATTACTTGAAGAATTGCTTTAGAAATGAAGAACAACAGAGTCTGTTGACGATGATGATCAGACGGATTCAAAAATTGGCTCCCTTTTTCTCTTCTTCTTCTTCTTCTTCTCCATTGAAATCTAGCTGCTGCGGCTGCTGGTTTTCCTCAAAGTCATCAATGGACGTCGCTGCAGCTGATGTTGCCGACGTCACCGCAGAAGAAGAGCTATTGTACCCATCTGTTGCTTCCACTGCGAAGCCGGTGACCACAATCCCTAATCTCCTTCAGCCTCGTGTCGTCATCTATGATGGAGTCTGCCATCTCTGCCACCGAGGTAAACTTACTCCACCTGCTAATTGATTATTTTTCAGTGTATTGGCTTTTTGGGCATGTCCATTTTTATGCCTAGAAAACAAACCTCAGCCCCAGTCACTCGTTTTTTCTTTCCTTATTTTATTGTGCTTTGTATTTTATTGTATGTCTAGTAATGCTTATGAATTTTTTCGGAAAGTGAATTGGGGAAGAAACTTTCGGTAAGATTAACATTCCTCTTGAATTGCCTGTGGTCTTTTTTCCTCTGTTTCCCGAAAAGATGTATGTTAATTTGTTTGTATGCTGTCTAAATGCTCCTCAACTGTCGGTTTTAATTCCAGTTCCAAAAGATAAATAAGTAAAGAAGTTTGGTTTTAATCTCCATTTCTTTTAATATTGACAATTATGTTTATGTTTAATGAAGTAATTGCTTATGCTGCCTTTTCTAGTGCTTTCTTGTTCTTGTACCAAAATGTGGCTCCTTAATAATCTAAGTTTACAGGGGTGAAGTGGGTGATTGAAGCAGACAAATACAGGAAGATCAAGTTCTGTTGCCTCCAGTCTAAAACTGCTGAACCTTACTTGACACTCTGCGGTGTTGACCGAGAGGATGTTCGCCGTCGCTTTCTCTTCATCGAAGGCCCAGGATTATACCACCAAGCATCCACTGGTTAGTTTGGTTAGTTTTCTGTCATTTATTCCTTCTTCATCCACTTTATGCCAGCTTCTCCATAGCTAGTTTTCTGCGTTGTCATGGAAATTGATGTGTATTGGTGCGTAACTCAGTAAGATAGGCGGTAGTTGTGCCACTAAAGTGAGGTTGTGTTGTGCTGCAGGAGATATCACACTTATACTCTGCAATGCCAATGTCTTACATTTATTTTTTTCTTTTTTGACCATAACTGGTTAGGTGGTTAGTGAATTATTCATGCTGTCTGCTTTACAAGATAGACTGTTCCCTATAGATTCTTGTGGCTTTTCAATATGGATCAGTGAAAAGTTACTTAAATAATTGAAGACTCATGACTATTGCCTTCTTGGAATTTACATGTTTAAGCTATATGGATTGGTAAACATCTGAAAGAAGATGATCCATACTGAAACTCCCATATTTCCCTCTTTTCCCTATAAGCAGTCCAAGATCTAGTTTTTTCATAGAAAAGACGAACAATCTTCAAACACAAAGCCGAATGAGCAGCTTTACCAAAGATGGAAAAACAGACTGCTGCATTTGTCTATACTGTTTAATTGATAATAGTTTCTACCCTGTTTCATCAGGTTCCTTTGTAGCACATCTGAACAGAAGAGGAGAAATGGTTGCATAGTCGAACCCAGGAGTTTTTTATTTTTTTCCTTTCTGGACAACTTGTTGTACTGGCAACTGAACAGCTTCATTTTGTAAACTACTAGGAGTCCCAAGATCAATTTCATCTACTAGTGAATTCAGTTCCAGTGACTTATAAGAAATTTTTTGCTATTTCTTTTAATGTGGCAATTTTTTCAACGTTGAGATGTGGATTCATGAGTAGAGTCTCTGTTCACTGCGGTTTTTTCTTCTTTTCAAGTTTTCTTCTTTTTTTCCTTGACAATAGAAACTTGAGTCTTAACTTTTCTACTGTATGTATGTGGCTCTGCAGCTGCACTGAGAGTGATGTCATACTTGCCTCTACCATACTCCGCTTTGAGCACACTCTTGATAGTTCCAACTCCTCTCAGGGATGCTGTCTATGACTATGTTGCCAAGCACCGCTATGGTTGGTTTGGGAAGGCTGACGATTGCTTAGTTTTGAAAGAGAAAGAGCTGCTTGAGCGTTTCATAGACAGGGATGAGATTATTGATAGGAGTCGATCAGATTTATAATTAGCTATTCTAAACTTTAATCAGCTATTTGTGATTTGGTGTAAAGGTGTTTTGAAAATTGTTTTATGAGGAACACTAAGATGCTAAAGAGTTGTAAGAGCAAATCCGGGTATACATGCAGTGAGGGCATTGCAGTTGCATGCTAATGAAGCTTCTTTCTTGGGAAAAACTGGCAGTGTCTCCCTCTCCTATGTTATTTACTTGCTTGGTATTTTATTCTGTAGGCTTTGGAAAATGCAACTGAAGATTTATCTTCTGGCTGCGGGATCAATTTATTTCTCGTACTCCTATATCAGGTATAGAGCAACGAATGTTCAATCAAATGGATTTTTTTCCTCTCTCTCGAGTATTTTGTCAATCACTTTGCATCTCCTGTTGTAATTCCAAAGCAGAATTACTTGGGGATGAAAATTCTTGGGAACCAATAAATTATTTGACTTGAAGGGTGTTTTAGGTTTCATATAAATTTGTAAGTGGCTCACGATTTCTGGTAGGTTTGTTGTGATTTCATTGACATCCAATTTGAACGTTACTTTCATTCTCTTTCTCATTCGTATTCGAAAAAGGTGATGGAAGTGCTTCTCGCATGAACTTTAACGGCGAGAATTAATGGAAGCGCAACGGAGGCCCGACATTGATCACTCATAATGGTTCAAGTTTCTTGACTTAATTGCAACTTCTAATAGTTGGGAGACTTAATTAAAACTTGATGATAGTTGTATCATGCGGATATAGCATCAGAGTGAAGTGGCTCAAGCTCAGGGACTACTATTAAACAGACGGCTTCAATCTTCAAGACTTTCCACGATCAAGAAGCTTCAACAAACAACAGCTACAGACACCAAAAGCTCCTTCTGCACTTCACAATCCGCCATCCAGGGTTGAGCAGTCATTATAGCTGTTGCAGCAGCAAGAGCAGCCGAAGGAACAAAAACTAGTTGCCGATCGATGCAAGGCAAAATCAATTAATTGCGCAAGAAAGTAGTGTCCTTGATCTACAGCATCATCAGCAGCCGAAGTTACCATGCCCACACAATGATTGTTAAAGCTTGCAGTCATGGTCACAACCATCAACAATGCAACATATTCTAAATTTGTCACAACAAGATAAACAACAAGGATCTCAAACATCAGGTACCTTTCTTTTTCCAAAGCATATATATCCTCAGAAGTATCTAGTGAACATGTAATGTGAAAGGAAAAAAATATTGCAGAGGTACCAACAAGTGTTATATAGGTTCATGCAAACAAAACAGTACAGTGAGTAGTTAAAAAATGGAATGTGGTTGTGGTTCTTTTGTGAGCTTTGATGTTCGAAAGAGTTTTTTTTGGCGACCAAATGTTTATTTTGTGAATTTATCACCTTACAGGCTGAATCTTCAAGGAGTAGGTACACAGTGGAACTAAGAGAGATGGGGAAAAGGGGTGGAGGGTATTTTGTAATTTTACTAAGAACGTTCGGAAAAAAAACGACATCAAGTGTGAAAAAGTGTTTGGAATTTAGTCTATGGATCGACGAATTTGATTGCAAATCAAATAATAATTATAATATTTTAATTTGGGATATCAATTTATTGTCAACGCATAGTATATGATACTATCAAATCACTTAGCTATTATGAAAAAAAAAATCTTCATTTTTTCTCTGTTTCTGTTCCCTCTAATAAAACTTTCTCAATTCCCTCATTTCGCTCGATGACAAGTACATTGAACACATTCCCAAGTAAGAGCAGTTTTTTTTTTAACTTTTGGAATGCAACAGTACTCTTTTTTCACCATTCATTTCACTTTACAAGGGACCAAATTTTAAAATACATGAGACAATTAAAACAAAAAATGTGGGTGTGTATATATATAAATATATAAAGTACTTTTTAAAGAAAGTACATCAAGAGTTCATCATAAATTCAAGGCGCTTCTCTCTTCCCTTCTGACCAGGTTGTTGCACTATCGAAGAAGGCAGGGGGGACTATCACAACTTACTAAATTAGAAAATTCATTTTCTATTCCGTTGCTTTGTTAGTAAAATTGGATTGTCCGCATTGTCAAAAGATAATTATTGCAGCATGTAGAGCATGTAGGAGCTTACAAGTTCTTGCATATCATTTACGTTCCTTTCTCCCCTGTCTGGAAACAACCTGATCCATTTCTCTGTCTACTTTCAAATAGCGATTCAAAACTAGGGCCTGCATCATCAAGAAATTTCAAAATAGGCCAACCTATTTTTGTATTTGTCATTGGTAGAGCCACTCGACCAGAGGTAGGTTCCTGGTACACAACTCTCATAACTTCGTGATGGTTTTTTTTTTAATCTAATGTTATATGTTCCTAATATGAAATGTTCTCAGCTAAGGGCATGTCACAAGCTTACAAGTAAATTGTAGAGGGAAATTGCTCTAGTCTCATCCAGTCTTGATGATCCCAAACAATTCATCATGGTGAGTGTTCTTCCCTGCCAATTTTCCTTGACTTAATTTGCTGCCAAAAATGAAGCAGCTGTCTGCACAATAGCTCTCACTGGAAGATCACTTATTAACATGGACTAACCATTGTGAGTAGCTCACATCATCTCCATAGGTAGAATACAAAGGTACTTTGGACTAGACTTGTGGGGCTCTCTTAACGAGAACTCCTCCAAAAATTGGCGTATGCCGCCATATGCGGCGAGCACACGGTATTCTTTAGTAAAAGGCGAAAGAATAATTCGCTCTGTGCTCACCGCGCGGCTGCGTGATTCGGAAGGTTGAGTTCTATTCATTTATACAGCAGCTACTCGTGTGCTGGCTTTGCTCGTTAGGCGATGTGGGACATTTTCTCTAACGGGATAAAAAACTTCGGGGATAATTGCACCATTTAAGTACTTAATTTTTTTCATTTGAACATATAATTTTTTTCAAAACTCTTAATCGAATAATTTTATTAATTTTTTTATTAACTGATGATTTATTTATTCCCTCTAGAATATCAAATTACAATCTGCTTTTTTTTTCGTCAATTGACTTTATGGATTTTTTTAGTACGTTGACTTTTTAAAATTGTCAATAAAATATTTTTATCAATTATTTTATTAATTGATAATGCATCTGTTCCACTAAAATACCAAATTACTGCTAGCACTATTGTTAGATGGAGTAATGATTATGCTGCTATGTCTTTTATTATAAAAAATGATTATGCGGCTGTGTTCGAGCACCAAAAATTCTTTAATCTATCTTTCATAGTAGCTTAAATTCCTGATCACTCTTTTCATAAAAAGAAAACAGACACTAAAGTAGAGTAGCAAAACAAACACAGAGGTTTGATATTCCGAGGGGGAAAACCCGCACAATGAATTCACTTGAAATGAGAACTGTGAAGCAGAAGATGATGGGATAGTAATCTACAAAAATTGAGCAGCTCCAATTAGTTTCTTCTAAGAGAAGGCCCTGCACATGATGTTTATTCCCAAAGTTGACAACACAAAATCATCCCACCAATCTGCTTTTCTACAAAACATGGTCAAGCTTCACTTCAACGGGTTCAGAGATAATGATCCAGGCTGCTCCATCACCTCTTTCAAACCTCTTTGACAATCGAAATACCCAATTGAGTTAAGAGGTTTGGTAACCATTCAGTTAATTACTGTCACCACCGGTCCATTCTTTCCAGTCATTGTCAACATGACCTTGGGCCCATTTGACCGCTGCACGTGCAGCTTCAGGTCCTCCAGGTAACCCCTGCTCATTCACAGTATCAGCCATATCAATAAAAGGTGTGACCAAGAGTGTTCCAGGACCACCGTACTCTGCGTGCAAGAAGGTACTGAATATCTGTAAACAATCATCAGTCGAGAACATCGTTAGCAACTCTTTATATACATATGTGCATGTGTAAATGAAAGATAAAAGAAACTCCTATCACATCACAACAAACGGTGGATTGATAGCAGAAGGATATGAAGTGGCACACATATACGTAGATAAATTTAATATCTCGCAAGCTCAGATTTGATCACCCAATTATTATTCCTATCTGGAAGTTCATTGTTTTCTCGTTCCTTTTCTATCCCACAAATTTCCCTTTTTTTTTTCTTTTTTTTTTTTTTTTAAGATGCTAACAGCCTGAGAAACCTGGCTGATCTCTGTGGGCATCAGCTGTAATTGCAAACTAAAACTGCACAAGTTATGACTACAAAGTAGAACAATCCATTGCATTACTGTCCCAAACTTTCTATAGTTACTAGGGTCTAAGCATTCCAATGCCTCCAACTAAACCAGTTGCGAAAATGACATCCGAGTATGATAAACAGGACAAAAGGAGAGATCACACAGCATACAAGCAAGAGTTTGATATTACACTTATAATATGGTGCAGCTAAAGCAAGTTTAACTCCTATGAGATCAGATTAACAATGTGAAGAAAATCTGAAGCAATAGTGCTGCCAGCCTACCCTACATCGGTCTGCTTGCCCAAGCATATGCAAACATTTGTTTTACATCCAAACACATAGTAACTATAGAAAGGAGTTGTTTTTCACTCTATGTTACCTTCCATGCCTGCTGCACTGATTAGTAGTGGTAAATTCAGCCTCCAAAATATATCTTGAAGAGAAAAAAGAAAAGAAAAAATAATACGTGCTTTTGCTGTAGGGGTTGGACAAGCAGTTGTGCTTGCAAGTTGTTTAAATTGAATCCATGTAGCAACATCTACGCTGGCTAAAGATGGTGTCTATGTCCAGGTGACAAGCTCAGCCACAAATAAAAATTCTTGACAGCAGAAAAACACGATTTTCCAAGGAGTTGTATTAACCTTATGCTAAAATTTACCGAATACATAAGCCACAACCTTTAGCACATAGACTGAAATGATAAAAGGCAATGAGAGTCACAAGTACTAAATTATAAAACAGGGTAAAGAATTTCAAGTATGAAAAAATTTATATACAATTGCCAATAAGAATTTCCCTCAGACTCGTATTCAAACTTTTTTTTTCTAAGGAGAGCAAGATAATCTAAACTACCTCAGTGCAGATTCCTACAACTTCTTCAAGCGAATCTCCATAAATATCTTTCTTGGTGAGCTTTTTGAGAAGATGGGTCTTAAACTTTTCTGTCTCCTGAACCAAGAAATAAAAACAAAGCCAGTTCAATATCCAACACACGGAAGGAGATAAAAAATAAAAAATAAAAGCATAATAATGAACTTACAGCAACAGCGAATTCGGGAATTGGATCGGGGAACTTGTATTCAGCTGCTCTGCAAATGTGCCTTCTAGGCTGTGATTTCTTGATGATTGACGAGGGTTGTAAATCAGAGGAGTATCTTAGACTGATTTCTTTAAACTGACTGAATGCAAAGAAATTAGTTGAAGAAAAAGAAGAAGAAAAGTTAGGAGGGAATGGAAGAGGAGGACGTGAAGATAAAAGAGAGCCTAAATCAAATTTTGAATAAAAGAGAGATTTGCTGCAAGAAGCCATCGTCTGCCTGCCTTCCTTCCTTATCTCTTTCTTAACTTATTTCTCTCTCACTTGTTGTCTCAGGCAGGATTCGCTATAATCTCGCTTATTATCAGTATTTTCTTTTCCCTTCTCTCGAGCGTCTTTTTTTCCTTTTTAATTATTTACTTTCACAAAGAACCTCGAAAATGTTAAAATGGATGGATAAAAATCTACTTTTCAAAAAAGAAAAAGACTCATTTAGCCCCTAATGCATTACTATATCATCGTTGAGTTTCGAAACTTTTGATTTTACCGATTTTTCCTCGCACGTAATTAACACTAGACAATATAATGCATTTATTCCTATGTTTTTCGGTGACTGTTGAAAGATTTTGTCCAATTTTCATGAAAATCTCTAAAATATTTCGTCAAATTTTCACGTGATCTTTAAATACTTTCATTCTATGTGTGGAAATAAGCCTCGATCGGTCCTAAAAGGACAATTTCAGTGCAAAATAATAAGTTTTTTCCCCTTTTTTTATACAAACTATTTTTTTATGTCAAACTAAATTTATTATGATTTGATATTAATATTTTTTTTAATAACATATTAAAGTTTATTTTATCATATTTGATGAAATCACTTGTGTTCAAATTGATTATAACTCTTTGAAGTTCATTAATTAGATATGGACATTTCATATTTATATCGTTTTTTTATATCTATAATATCAAAAGATCACTTATAATTTCAAAATTGAGTTTACGTTCATTGATTAAAACATCTTTATTCTGTAAATAATAAAACAATATACTCAATCAAATGTATTAAAACTCATTTTTTATTCCTATAACCTCAAGAACTTTTTGAAGTTTCGCATAAAGATATAAAAAACAACAAACTTATTCACATGTTGATCGTAATCGTGATATTATTATCTCATCATAATAACATTGAAAAGCAAAAGGGCGTATCTATGTTTTCTTTTGGCTCATTATTCTTGCAAGGTTGAAGAATATTCTTGCTTCAGAACTTTTTCTTCAATTGAGTCACATAAAAATCTCAATTAACCCTTGAACTCTCGTAACAACACAATTATTTCTTTTAAATATGCAGTCCAATCATAAACAAATGATTCATTCCAATTGAATCATGAAAAAGCCATAGTCTCTAAACGTTTGAATTAATGCAATTATACACACAAGATTGAAAATTAGATGCATACATCAATGACACTAAGACTGAATTTTTTGAAAAACTTACCTAGCTCTTCATCAAAATCTCGCTCCATTATGATAATTATGTCTACAAATCATTTTATACGGAAAAACTAATTTAAATCGGTGTATATATAAGGAGAACCCTAGACAATCCAAAGAGGAAACATGAGGCAGTCAGGAGAGGACCACTGACCAGCGTCTGACCATCAATAATCGGCGGTGATCACCCATTCTCTTCCCTTTTTCTTGTATAGGAGTTTTTTTTTCATGGAAATTTGCTGGACCATTTTCATGCATCTAACATATAACATTGATAAGAAACACAACAAAAAAACTCTATAAAAAAATAAAAATTACGCACAAATACATCACAAACCTATGGGGAATAAATTTAAAACACATGAAATTTCTGAATTCATGTGTTAATTGCATTTCTAATGCCTCTCCCGATTGTGTAAGCCTCTATTCAGTTACCTTACCCCCTTTCCTTTGTCGCTATAATCCTGCTTAGGAGTTAGGATGGGGAGTCACATTGGCGGCACGTTGAAATTTACAATGCATGAATCAAGAAGAACCTAAGGGCAAAAGCTCAATAAAATGTCACTTCCCAAGCTGATAAGAAAATCTGTGGGGCAAAACGAATAAAAAAACGGTTATTCGGGCATTTGGGATTTTAGTGATTCAGAAGCTTTAAAAACACCAGCCTGTATGATACACAGAAACCGTTTGTTGGAGCTGGAACACCATTTACAAGGTTTTAAGGGTCACAGAGTCCTATTGTTAGTATTGACAGAAGAAAGAAGACCAAAAATGAGCCAGGTTTTGCTTTATGATAGTGCAAGTAAGAATTTGTTGGCTCCTAAATAAGGCCTGCTCTTTGGTCTGTGGGTTAGCAAGCTCAAACAAACTAAATACATCTCACAGATTTCTTTCATGCGGTTCCAACCAAGGAAATCCTAGGAAATCAAACACCTCTTTTTCATTGTCAAATCTCAGACTTGCACTAGCTCTTGCACCCTGCAATAAAATTGAAGCATGTTGCCTAACTAAACCTCATAAGAAGTCTTAAGATAAAAAGGAAGATGCCGAAAATCCAACTTACTCGCTTGCCTCCTGAAGCCTGGGTAGCTGGAAATAATCCAGTATCATCAAGCCGATATCCTTTGGATTCTGCTAGTAGTCTCAGCCTGCATTCAGATATAACTACTTTGTGATAATATGTTCATAAAAGAACATAAAACAGAGAAATTCAACAAAATTTCTTAGCAAGTTCTTGGTACTAAATTCCAGATTAAATTCATTCCGTGAACTTCTCTAAATAAAATATAAAATAAAATATAAAAGGTTTATCCTGTGGCTGTTGAAATGTTCACAAGTAATAGTGTGTAGTAGTAAAAGCATTTAGAAGCCATTTGGTAATTCAGGGAAACTGAATATGAAAATGATTTTGAAAAACTTAAAAACTCAGCCTGATTGTAATCTTTTTAGATAAAAGAAAATTTTATCAACCGACTTAAAAAAGAGAATAAGTCATCCTCAAAAAGGAAATCGAAAGGAAAATAAAAAAGAGCAGCCCAGTCCTGCTGAATATCAGTTGAGGAACTTCTCTTAAAGCATCTGGAGCATAACAACAAAAGAAAGGAAAAGTATCCTATCCCACAGCAATTGCCTTGAGATGTACTTGTTTTTAAAGACTAGCATTTCTCTCCCATCAAGCAAGGGCAGAGCTAAGAGTTTAAAGTTGGGGGAGCTGAGGAACATATTGAGATGCCAAAATCATTCACACAAAAAAAAAATGTACACAGAAGTTGTAGATTATGGACTAAAATATAACCTTTTTATTTAAAAGAACCATTATATATAAACTTATAAATTTTATATGAAATAAAAACTAAACTTCAGGAACCATTTTGAACTTTAGGCTCCTGCTTGCAACCCCCTAGTTCCGCCCCTAAAACCAGGCACGCCATAGGATCGTACAAACAGCAAAAATAGCAAAGTAATGCTATCTTTCATCATCCAAAACCCACAAAAGCGAGTACAATTAAACCTGCTGCTCTATTAGGAAATACACGAGAGTCTCCACCATCGATGAAGAATTTGCACCTTCATATCTATAAGATGGCTGCTTAAGCCAAGAAAACTTCCATTTTTTTGGGGGGAGGGTGGGAAGAATTTGGATCACTCTTGGTTAGTCAAATCATACCTCCTGTTTAATACATCATTCCCTGTCCATGCTATTAGACCGAACGCATATATGTCCCTTGGATATACCTATAAAATGGAACACAACATGTTGATTGCGTGCATATGGCAATCAAAAATTAAACAACAAGATTAAAAGGAGCATTCTGAAAAACTCTCTGACCAACTCCTGCACAATCTAATGAAATAGCTGATTCTACATAAAAAGTAATAAATTAATCATCAAGTTACCTTAAAGTCTATTCGGTGCCGCAGTTCTCGCCCAGGATATGTGCAAAGCCCAAAATATGTGTCAACACCTGAATCAGTACCCTGTGCACATCATCACATGTTGAAAGTGATAAATGATCGAGAGGAAACAACTCAGTACATAATGGAGCCCAGAAAAATTGTTTTCCGTCAATTTTGAGTATCCTCCTAGGTTAATAAGAAATGATAGACAAGATGAACGGAAGGGAAAAATTAAATGTGCACTTATATTTTTAGTTCATAGTATAACAAATTTATCAACTATATGTCAGTGAACTAGTTTGAAGCTTTGGGTATTCAAATACTACTGAAAGGCCAACGGCAACTGATATTAAAGGGCCAGCCAATCTCAATTAGTTGGCTGTTGGCACGTCACTTCCCAAAAAAAAAAAAACTTAATAGCCTCTAATAATGCAAACGATATCTAGGAATCTTGAGCATTCTGCCTAGAGCATCCAATGATGGTTGTCTCGAATAAATAACATGGCAACTCCCCAGAAAGATTATTTTGCAAAATCTAACTTGAATATCCATTATAAACTCACAGCCTGTCAGAGTTCCAATTTAGAGTATTTAAGGGACCCATCTATAGATTTGGAAATCTTAGGAACAGTTTATAATCATATATATGCTTTTGCTGATGTAGACCAAAGTTATCCACATCTAGACAGCTGAATTACAGGAACAAAGTTATGAACTCAAGGTTCACATAATTTATGAAAAAACAGTGGACTTTTGATATCATACATCAGAGAACAAAGGAAAAGGAACTTTGATACTTGCATAAGAGAACAAAGAAAAGTAATTCTCACAAACTTAAGATTAATTACCTCCTTGCTGTGAGTACTGAAAATCAAATCCTCTCTTAGGAATTTCATATCCTTTAAACGCTTCACATACCTTGTTAGAAAACCTTTATGACTGTCATACAAAGAAAATCAACTTTAGAGTGCATTTCCCAACCACTGGTTTGAGCCTTTTCTTTTTACTTTTGACTATTGACTCAAAGCCAAAACATAATCACTTAAAAAGTTGTTTGGATGGAATTACATTTCAACTTGAATTCATAAGTGACTTTTAAATTCAGTGAAATCTTGCTTTAGCTAAAAGTTATTTTTTACCTTTTTCTTTAAGATAAGAAATTTAGCACTGCATACAACAATAAAGTTAAATTTGAAAGATATTGCTACAAAAAAAATTGCTTAAAGCAAATTTTTTAACCATTTGAACACTTTTTTGTCATGAATAAATGCAAATTATAAGGCAAAATATAAGCACGACCACACATACATGTGCACAGAGAAGAAGCAAAAAAAAAAATAACCACCTTTTCCCATCAGGGTGCGTGATCACAATGTCCAAATCACCACAAGAAGCTTTTCCACGTCTATATGATCCTCCACATAAAATAACCACCTTCAAGACAGATATTAACAGCATTAAAAATGGAAGCAACATGCCAAAGTCTATGTGAATGCTGAAAGCCTGAGACAATTAAGGGCTCAGGCCCTAAGGTATAGCTCTCAATGAAATTTATTGATCCATGTTAGAGCAAATCTCCATGGATACACCAGTATCAGTCTGGATTTGGCCTTTCATATAAGTAAGTTTTGTAAACTATATGTCAATCAAGAATCATCCAGACCTCCAAACTTGGTCATGCTATTCAATAGCTAAGAATTTAGGTCCTCTAATGATTCAATTCATTCAAAACACCTAACCAAGCACGATATACTGTGATCCAGTACCCAAAAAAAAAAAAATCAAAACCCAGCCTGAAGGCCATCCCCAGGAAGAAAAATACAACTGCAGCTTTTTAAAATTCTATGAATCTCACTCAAGAGCCCAAGACACCTTAGCATCAAATTGAGACTGCTGGCTTTTTGGCAGAATTAGCTTTTGGTTCACATATGCCAAGTGGCTGCAAAATGGTGGTACAAGCAGATGCACCAGAAACCAGTATGGGCCTTCCCAACTCAACTAACTTCTTAGGTCCTTTAGATTCTTTCATAAACTAGTTCATGGCATAAAAGAGCATACCCCAGGTAACATCTCTTCACCTGTTCTCTGTAGCAGTAGTTCCATTTCTTGAACCTGCACATTCACAATTATTGTTAAAAGTTTGTGGGGCAAAACAAGTCCAAAACACAATATCAATCCTAAGAGCAAGTGGGATATCCCACCTCTTGGCGTGGAATCCTCATCTTAATATCATCAAAATATTTTAATCCTAACTTCTGTGAATGTGTCAATGAATCTTCATTCACCAGATCCTCTAGTGTGCGATGCCCTTTCTCATATAATTTTAGGGCCGTGGCTGGACCAATACCCCAAACCTCCCCAAACAAACTAATGGTCCGTACCTGAAAATTGTTAACTGAAAGCGTTCAGAGCAAGAGAATAAGTGTGATAAACGTAAGCCAGACACCATTTCCACATAAACGAATATAAATAGATCAAAAAACAAAAGTGTGTGCACTGTGGGATTGTAATTTCTTCAGAAATATTCAGAATACCTTTTCATCTGTTTCAAAGTGCTCCAACTTGGATAATCTCCCAGTAGTGACTATCTCCTGAATCTGCATACACCAATGGCAGCCATAATCTTCTGTGGGTGATTAGAACATGGGGGGTGGGGGTGTGCAGGGGGAAGAACAAGAAAGTTTTGTTCATAGGGAAATGCTACTTTAATAATGTAGGTCCGTTGAAACTCAAATTTTTACACTGCTATGTTTTGCAAATCACATGGGATCATGAGATTCAGGACCCAATGAATATGATTCCTACTGACAGATTTTCACACAAAGAAAATCCATACTAGGAGAAAAACAAGTTACCACATGTATATCATATTTAAACAGTGGGAAGAAATAAATATAAATCAAGACAGCTAGTGATACTCATTAAGACAAGCAACAAATCTGATCAAGAGAAGAGATGTGAACATAGTAATTTGAACAGAAATGAGCCCTTACATGATCCTGCATTGACTTGCCAATGCCAGGCAAATCTTTGACCTGGTCTGCACTATCAATTTTAAAGGGCAACTTCTCAATAACAGGAATAGCCTTGTGATAGCTAAATGACCTTCGATCATCACCCAATGCTTTTCCATGGAAAAGTAAACACCTCACATCAGACCCCAAGAAAGTAGAAACAGGAAAAATGTGTAGAGGAAATGAAGCCTCACCCCTATATATGTTGATAAGTTTTCCAAATATCTCAGTTATGTTCCTGTTTAAATCAGGTGGACTGTAAGGCAAAGATAACTGCAACAGCATACCTGATTAGCATACAATATATCAAAATACTGGGGCTCGTTGACAAGTCCCGGGAACCAAACTAATCAGAGAAAATAACTTGGTAGTATGTGCATGGACAGACATAAAAATAACCGATTACCAATCTTAAAGCAAGTCTTACATCTGAATGCGGAGTACTAGAGGTTATTGGATTGGTAGGACTTCGTGAGAGAGGTGAGCTGTCAGAACGTCGTCTGGGACTATTTGGTACCTCAGACAAACCTTTACTTTCTGCATCTGATTTGAAGCTTTTCACATCAGATTTGATCTTTTCACTGTGAGGTGACAGTTCATCAGAACTGGAAGTGTTCTCATTGGCTAATTTCAAAACCAAAGACTTGTCTTTTGTATTCTCTCCTTCCAAATCAACTAGTATATGATATTGATCCTCAGAAACCTTTTCCCCTAATCTCAAACTGTCCTCTAGCCATTGATAAAGGAGAACCCTCTGCATCAAAAAGTATTGAAATTAATTCATCGAACCTTGAAATTACCAGATAGCAAAATGGCAAACCCCTCTTCTAATATTGAATTTGTAAGATTCAAACCTCTAATCCACCTTCACCAAGTTCTTTCGTTGAAAAATAGCATTGGCATCAAACATAATTTTAATATTTAAGCCGATTAATTAATTACACAATTTTTCTTATTGATTAGTAAAATGTACATCAAAATTTACCCCTAAGGCCAAAGGGGCAAAAACCATTAAATTAACAAAAACCCACTAACACAATCGACTGGTGCATTTAACAAGAAATTATTGGATACTTTGATAGAGTAATTCAATGCGTCAAATTAGTTTTATACGAGCAAGCAAAAAAATGGTATTCTAAAAGACATTTGAAGAAATTAACTCACTGGTTTGAAGCGTTTTAGTAGTTTTCCATCCAATTGTTGGAGAAGGGTCTGTGAATTAATAGCAAAAACATGAGTGACTTTCTTCGAAAAGCGCTCCTCGATAGTAGCGCCCATTTGCACCAGCTTCTGCTTCCAAATCTATAATGACAACAATTCTACACTAAATTAATCGTGCTAAATACTATTTGTCATTGGCCTTCCATCCTAATCAACAAAAACAAGAAGAAGAAACCTGGAAGCGACGCGACTGAACTCCAGTTTCGACCAAAAACACAACCATTCCTGAGAACATTCCCTGGGGATCGATTGAGGGACTTTTCTTTCGCTTTGGCGCCATAACATTGATGACGCAGAGGGTGTCAGTGTGAGATTCTTTGTACTGCTGCTACCCTCCTCGACGTCACTTCACTGAGGGTCCATGCCCCGGTTTGTTTTCTACTCTTGGTTTTCTACCATCTTTCCGTGTACCGTCAAATTTTCATTTTTATTGTGCGCAAGATTCCGTTTAAAATTTTGTTCTTTTTTCCAATTTCGTTATGTTGGGTGTCCCGTGTTAAAAATCTATGCATTGTAAATAAGAAAATTACACCTAAGAAAATAGGGAAAAAAAAGGTGTGAATATAACTTAATATTTAAAGTTTGATTTTTTTTTTATCATTTCTTAAATTCTCACATACGTTAAGGGAGCTTTTGTTTGGCATAAAACATTTAACGAATAACAAATATTTTTCATAAAGAATTTTTTTCTTAAAACATTTTACATAAAAAAAAGTTTAACGTTTTTTGGTAATTGATTATTTGATAAATATAAGGAGAGTAGAATAATGATGATGATGTGTTGCGGTGAATGTGATAGTTATAATAACGATAATTGCAATAATAGTAATAGTAGCGAGAGAATATGAGAATGGTTGTGATTGCAATGATAACAACGCTAGAGGTTTGGTGATCTTGTAGAGTAGTGTAGTGGTGATTGTAGAGTTAGGTAGCAACAAAATGGTGGCCATCGAAATAATTTGATGATTTTATAAGTGATTTATTGTAAGTAAAATATTTACAAAATATTTTTCAAAAAATAAACTAAATTAGAAAATTGATTGTGAAATATTTTAAACTAAACAATTTTTCCATTAAATATTTTATCATAAACAAACACAAAAATAAAAAATGCATATTTTTCTATAAAATATTTTATGCAAAACAATGACCTAATATATAGATATTTGATGCACAATAATCTAAATAAAACGAATATAAAGATAAAGTTCTTATTAAGTGGGAAAAAAAAACTAAAATAGAAAGGAATTCCACTATTTACAAACTACCCAATTAGAGACAAATCAATATCCATCTATCATTTGTTACCCTATTCACTTAGAAAATAAATCACTATTCATGTATTATGGTATTTTGTAAGTGTTTAAGTGGTTTTAGAATAGAATTTTTTATTATATGGCTATTTTGAAGTTTTGTATTGGTTTTGATTTTTTTATTTGAGATAAATATACTTATATGTTTTTATATAATACTCAAAGTCTCAAATATGTCTTTAGGTTTCTAATTGTATCTTATTTGTTTTTTAAAGTATTTGAAATATTCGATTTATCTTTTTGATTTTTTGATTTTACTAGATACAAAAAATGATCGAAATGCCCTTGATTGAGATACAAAAACAAAAAAAAATTAAAAAACTTCAAGATTAGAACAAGTAAATCATGTAACTTTAAGTTTTTTTTTCAATAAAAAGTAGTTCGATCAAGAAAAATTCATAATCAAAAAATTTGATCGACGGGACGGATGAACATTAAAAAAAATATATAGTAATAAACAGAATGCAATTAAAAAATTTAAAACGTACGAAAATTTTTGAGTATTATACAAAAACAAATATGTATATTTATCCTTTTATTTGTTGACATTTTTCAAGTTTTGGATTGGTTTGAAGAGTTGTTATGGTTCGCTTTTAGTCCTATTTTTTCGTAACATTTATGTTTAGGTTATGATACTTATTTGCTTTGTGCATTGGTCATTAGTAATTAAGAGATCATGGTTGTATTTGTTTAGCGGAAAACAAGTTCTAATAACTTGTTTTCTTCATTTTCTCTCATTTTTCGATATTTGTTTCGTATTTAAGAAAAAAATCAACAAAAAATGATAGAGTATTTTTAAGAAAGTGTTTTTGAATTAAAAAAGAGGAAAGCATTTTCTCTCTCTCTCACGAGTCGCCTCGCTCTTGCGTTACTCACCTCTCTCGATATATTTTAATATTTTTTCTCTATCTCTTTTTTATTTAAAATATATCAAATTAATTTTTAATTAATTCTTATTAATTATTTAAATTTTTTCTCTATTTCTACTAACATTTGCTTTTTGATTTATAAATACATTAAATATCCTTAAAAACCATTTTTACACATAAAAATTATCTTTATAATAAATATTTCAATAATTTATCTCTAATTTTTTTTTTTTTACCATTATCCCAAACACCACCTAAACTATATTTAAGTGATTAGAAATGATTATTAAAATATTGCAATCATTTATGAAAATTTTGAAACTAATCAATTCATTAATAAATACATTATAAATCCAACACCGTTCATTTACAGACTAAATCAATAATTTGTGACTAATTTTAATTAGTTGTAAAATTTTATTGGTAGTTGTAGTTAATAATTAGTTACAAATTATTCTAAAATTAATCTTTTGAAACCAAATGAATAATTATCTACAAATGATAGCTAATAATCTGTAAAACTATTTTTTAGATTAAATTATCAATTCAATTAAAAAAAAAATCTTAATTGAGTTAATAACAATGCTAGGATTACTTAGAATTTTTTTTTATTAAACGTGAATATTGACTTGATTTTGTCCTAAGTAGTTTTGATTAATTGGTTTGATGGTTAAAAATATACATTTTATTTTTTAGTTTTTTGAATTTAAATCTTAGAGTCGGTATTTATAAAAAAATTATTTAAATTTTACTATTATCCCAAATACCACCTAAACTATATTTAAATGATTGGAAATGATTATTATAAGACTCGCAATCATTTGCAAAAAAAATTGAAACCAATTAATCCATTAATAAATATATTATTTTTTCAACATTATTCATTTGTAACTAAATCAATAATTTGTGACTAATTTTAATTAGCTATAAAATTTTATTGGTAATCGTAGTCAATAATTAGTTGCAAATTATTTCAACATTAACCTTTTGAAACCAAATGAATAATTATATACAAATGATAATTAATAATTTGTAAATTTTTTAAAATTATTTTTAGACTAAATCATCAGTTCAATTTTTTTTTAAAAAAAAGAATTCTTAATTGAGTTACCAAAATAACAATGTTATGATTACTTAGAATTTGTTTTTTACTAAATGTGAATATTGACTTGATTTTGTCCCAAACAGTTTTGATGAATTGGTTTTATGGTTAAAAATATTCATTTTATTTTTTGATTTTTAGAATTTAAATCTTAGAGTCGGTATTTATAAAAATTTATTAAATTTTTATAAATGCATGTTATATTGTGATATTATGAATATGCCTCGTTGAAGTTTTTTCAAAACTCGTTGATGTAAGAGTCATAGCCTGTTTTTATATTTCAGTTTTCTATATCAAACACATGTTAGAATACATTTTTCAGTAGTTTTTTTTATGTGATTATCAAATATCAAAAAATATTTTTTGAAAAACAAATTCTTGAAAAATAGTTTCTCCATAATTGATTTTTCTATTTAAAGTTATTTTTCATCAAACAAATGAAATCGAAATAATTTAAGGAGGAAAGATGCTTTTTATTTCCATAGAAATTGATTCGATTAGCATATATGTGTTTAAATGGGTTAGAAAATTTGATCAATACTGGCAGCAAGGTTCATGATTGCAAAAGGATATGGTAACTAGCATACACAGGCATCGTCCACTTAGTATTTTTTTTAATTATTGGAAAGTCATGCATGCGGGCCTCTCGTACCAAACCCAAGCGCCATGGGCTTGGCTTCCTGGCCCATGCCTATTTTTTTCTATTTTTATTTTAAATTATAAATTTTATCTCTTCAAATCAAATTATTAAAATAGTATTTTTTAAAAAAAAAAATGCATACTGCTTTATAACATACTATTTGATATATAATATATACAATTTTTTGAAAATTCAATCTCTTATATATTTATAGTGGCATTGTATTATGTATTTATAGTGACATTATATATATATATATATATATATATATATATATATATATATATAACTGTTAAAAATTAAGATAATTATAGTACAACTATACTAACTTATAAATTTTTCTCAATCGAAAATATTAATTTTAATTTTTTTTTCGTTTGAGTACGTTAGCTTTTTAAAAATTGTTAATCAAGTATTTCTATCAATTTTTTCATTAACCGATAATGTGTTTGGTACCCTCAAAGTATCAAATTATGATTTTATCCATTTTCTTAATCGAATACATGAATTTTAATTATTTTTTTTGTTTGAGTACATTAATTTTTTTAAAATTATCAATCAAGTATTTTTATCATATTCTTCGTTAATCGGTGATGTATTCGAATTTAAAACTATAATTTTAGCTTCTTGTTGCTGAATTAAACTTTCTTTTCAAATTATTTTACTATATTTATATTTTGACAAGTAATTAAAAAATTATTTTTTTATCTCTGAAATTTCAAGCTAAACTCAATTAGCTTGATGTTAAAAAAGAAAAACTCGAGTTAGGTTTAAAAGTGAAAATCAAAGAAAAACACAAATGAATATTCTTGATGAAAAATCTCACGTTTGTGTTTCCTTTAATTTTCACACCAAAAACCTAATTTATTTATTTTTTTTTAATAACAAGCCTTACTAAGTTTGGTTCAAGATTTTATAACTAATATATATATATATATATATATATATATATATATATATATATATATATATATATATATATATATATATTTATTTTTTTTGTCAAATTTTTAAATAATAGAATAATTTAAAGAGAAAGTTTCTTACAAAAAAAAAGAAAAAAATGTAATTTGTTATTCATATACATTATCAATTAATGAAAAAAATGACAAAAGTACTTGTTTGATAGTTTTAAAAAAATTGGTATGCTCAATGTGAAAAAAATTAAAATTCATATATTCTATTGAGAAAAAAGAATAAAATTGTAATTTAGTATTTTGAGAATAACAAATCCTTAGTTAACGAAAAAATTAACGAAAGTATTTAATTGATAGTTTTAAAACAATTAATATATTGAATTAAAAAAATTAAAATTTATATATTTAATTAAGAAATTATTAAAAATTGATATATTTATATTGTAATCGTTCCTTAAAAATTTACTACTGCATTCAATTTTGCAGCAGTGGAGAGGACGTCACCGATCCTACAAAACGACAGCAAATGCATAATATTTGTTGATGAGAGGGGGAAAAAAGAAGCATTCTGAGCAGCACTATTCTTTACAATATTTCACATTCCCCAAATCTGCGCAAATCTATGAATGCTCATATGACGAACCAAACCTCATATATTCCCAAAGAATTAGTTAGTACAAATTAAAAGACGAAAGCTTACCCCCATTTGATCCCAGTCAATGCTCAATGCATGCTTGGTAGGTGGTAAAAATTAGTGGCAAAAGACTAATGATGATAATTTTTTGCTCTGGTGTCCGCATAACCATGGGCTAAAAAACTTTGAAATTTTCCAATTTGAACCCTATATTGAAAGACTGTCTCGTTATTGATGTCCATGTGCCCTCTAAAAAATTATTTTATTCTCATTTCTCCTTTGTATTTTTTTTTAAACTTATTTTCAGCATTTTCATTATACATTGTTCAAATATTCACTTATGAGTATTTTCAGCGTTTGGTAATGCTTGATGATTAAGTGATTTTACAAAATATTTTTCAATTAAGAAGGTGTTGAATTAATATATATTTAAAACGTTTATTATGCAACATATTTTAGTATACTTTCCACGTCGCAACTACATATTCGACTAGCAACTAACACATGACAAACAAATTTAAGTGCTTGTTTGGCCCTGTTTTTCTAGCTTTTATTGTTTTGTTTTGAAACAAAACAATTAACATTTTAAAAAAATGTTTGGTAAAGGATGATTTTTATATAGGTTCTTTTTTTTTTTTGCACATTTAGATCCTATATTCTTTTATTTTTTTTAACAAAGTGTTAAAAAAAATGCAAAGAATATAAGATCCAAATGTGAAAAAAAAAACCCAGCTCAGAAGGCTTTGGATTCTATAATATATGAAACAAATTTCCTAATAATATTAGTGATAATTAATGAATGATTAGATACGAACCTAATGTGTGTAATTTTTTTTTTTTTTAAATATTGGAATCCAAGAGCATTAATTTGTCTTATTAATATTCTATAAGAATAAATGATTTTTTACAATTTCTTACCATTGCTTACCATTTTATTTTTCTCGCATAGTTTTGTAAGGTCGATTAAAGCATGCTTTTTTCTTTTGATTGAAACTTGATCCTAAAACTGTAATATATATATTTTTTAAAAATAAAAGTGTAAAGACAAATTAATAAATCAGGTTTTTTAAAAGGTATTTATATGGAAAAAAATAAATTAAATACAAAATTTTGATAGAAAATTATGAAACTACACAGAATATTTATTTGAATTGTTGAGTTTTTTATTTTAGTTCAATAAATAAAATATTAAAAACACATATAAATATGTTATTAATAACAAGAAAAAGAAGACTTATTATTGACAATATATATTTTACAATTACCATCTTTGAAGTGAAAATATATTGATAAATAAATTTTAGAAAACATACTGTGAGTTAATTAAGAAAAAGTTTTTATTAAGAAAATATATTGATTTTTAAGAAAAAGAAGACTTATTATTGATAATATATATTTTACAATTACCATCTTTGAAGTGAAAATATATTGAGAAATAAATTTTAGAAAACATACAATAAAAATGTAGAATATATTAAATTAAAGAAAAAAGTGCATAGAGGCGAATTGTGTGAAGTTATTAATATTTATACAGAATCATTTGTATTTCAGTTAAATAAATATTAAAATCTATATATTTGAAATTTATTTAAAACAAGCTATTAAATATTAAATATTTGAATGATAAATATGCCAAAAAAAAAGTTTATTATAAATTTCGAACAAACTAATAAGCTAAGGGCACATTTGATAATCAATAATAACTTCTGTGGTTTAGCTCAATGGGTAGTGTTTGGATTTGGATCTATACCTCGTGTTCAGAGACTACCACTGATATATATATAATGTTTGTAAATCTAAGTTGTTAATTTAAAACGATAACTTCTACGCTTCTCTTTTACTTCACAACTAGGTAATATCGAGTCGCAAAGTTTAACTAATTAAATGCTTTCAAGCAACACAAATATAATCATATCAATAAAATAGTTAGAAAATTTTTAGTTAGCATGCCGTTTTTTTTAGTAAATTACAATATCTTCTTAAAATATTATAAAATTACAATAATCGTCTAAAAGTGAAAAATCGATTATATCACGAAAACTTTTTTTTTTTTTTTTTTATCTAAAATGTCCCTTAATGTTATAAAAAATTAAGGATATTTCAATTATAAAGTTTTTTTTTTTTTTTTTTTTTTTTTTTTTGAATTGCAACAGATACACTACACATATAATGCTTGTGCACGGTAGGTAGATTTTTCGACTCAATCATACAATGTTGGAATATTTTTTCTTTATTACTGCATGACAGGTGGATTTTCCAACTCAATCATGCTATGTTAACAATTAACAAGTCAGGACCAATGTAAAAAAAAAAAAAACACTAATTTAGAATTGAGGAACTAAACTATACCGGGGAGTTGTAACTTTTTCTTATAGTAGATCTCATGTTTACAAGAGTTAAAATCTATTATTGGAATTGCTTTACAAAATAAAATAATTGTCAATTAAAAGTATTTTTATTTTTACTCGAATATCTTTACAAAATAAAATAATTATCAATTAATTTTATGAAAGGCAATTAAAAGTATCTAAGAGCTTACAACCAATGAAATCCTAACCGTTGGATTTTAGAAACAAGATCTATGAGGATTCCAATCGAAATAATCAGGGAGAATTAGGCTGTGAAAAGAGTATGCTCTTCGTTCCTCTTGAGCCTGCCCTTGTTCTACTTCCTCTGCTCATTAGTTCTCCCACCTCTCTCTCTTTCTAGGGCACGCACACTATTTAATATATATATATTGAACAAAACAGAGTCAAGGAGCGTACATCATTGCCAGGCTAGATCTCCGTCACAAGCATAGTCTCTCCATGGCGGAGGATGCTTCCTCATCTCCTGCTATTCCAGACCCCAATTCCTTCAAAACTGAATCCCTTAACCATAACAATAATAATCCAACACCCCAACATGATGCCACAATCACATCAACACCGGTGATAACCTCCTACGCGCCGCCTCCTCAGCTGGCTCCCTCCTTCCGTCCAGTTGCTGTTCCTCCTGCTGGAGCACAATTTTATCAAAACCCTAGCGTTGGTGTTCCCCACATGATGCCGCCGTATCAGGTTCAGCCAGGTGTTCAGGTTCCGAGACCACCCTACTCACACATTCCCAACGGTTATCAAGGGAATATCGCTCCCCCACCTGGTGGGTTATTCCTCCTCTTCCTCCTATCCTTTATTTCTTTAATTTTTTGTACCTGTCTGTCTGTCTTCTCATTTAATAATTAGATATTATTGTTTCTTCTGATGAATTCAATGTGCTATTTGAATTATTGATGATGATGATGATGATAAGTGTTTAATTAATTTGTGGATTATAAATTAGGGAAATTAATTAATTAATTATTATGATAGTTATATGGGGATGAGTGTGTTCGGTTAAAAGAGGGTTAGTGGAGGAATTTAGAAAGCAAAACCCAAAAAAGGGACATCGATGACGGGATGTTTTCCTCCTACAGTGGTCTTGATTGAATACGGTGAGAAAAGTTGGAAGGCTTCCTATTGCTCTTTATGACTGAGAGACCATCAATCACCTTCCACAACTCCTTTTTTGGTATGCACATATTTCGCATGGTTTCATTTGATTGTTTTCTTTGGAATAAACACTTCAAAATGAAAGCCTAAAATCTGGTATTAACCATCATATCCTTCTGAATTATGTCGTGTTTATTTTAGTTCTGGTAGTTATAAGGATTCTTTCCATTTCATGGGTCTGTCTATGAATTGCCAGCAGCAGAACATGTTACCAACTGAGTGCTCCTTGGCCTTGTGTTCTAAGGTATCACAATTCTTCCAATTTACAATCAATCCTTTTGGTATGCACCTATTTCGCACGGTTTCATTTGATTGTTCTCTCTCTTGCTATTCTTTTGTTGTTTACCTGCGCTAGTTGAACAACTGACAATTATGATAAACTAAAATTGCAAATAATATACTAGTCTAGTTCTGTGTTATTACTTCCCTTGCGTACCCATGAGATGTTCCAAATCTCGTGTCACTGCATGCCAAAATCCCACATTTGGTGCATAGGATGATTTTAAAAGACTACTATCTTGCAAGCGGATGCATGAGGTAAGCCCACTTCACAAGTCCATGTTTATGAACTCCATCGTATTTTTCTTTATGTTTCCCTCAGGTTATCTGTTCAGCTGGTGATAGTTGATGCCTATGGTGCCATCTCTAATATGATTTTAGTGTGTGGTAACAACACTTGATTATTCTTTTCAAATTCTTCTTTGCTCATATGCTTAATGGTGAGAACAATGCTTATTTCTGTATTTCATTTGTAGACCTGCTCTGATGTGTCTGCATAGATGTTTATTTTCAATTTTTGCAGGAATTCTGCGCTACCCCTCCCCGTATCCAGCAATGGTTCGGCCCTTATTTCCTCCACGCCCTCCTGGAGCACTTGGTGTGGCTCCAGTAGTGCCTCGACCCCTTGTTCCTGGGATTCCCGGTGTTCGCCCAGTTATCTCCCCAATTATCAGGCCAGTAGTTCCTTCTGTGACACCAGCGGAGAAACCACAAACCACAGTTTATGTTGGCAAGATAGCACCATCTGTGGAAAATGATTTTATGATGTCTCTCCTTCAGGTATGTTATCAATTACATTATTTCTATCTATTCATGCTTCACATCAGGGCTTCCTTTTGCTTTACCCGTAGCCTTTTTTAGATCAACTATTGAAGCTTTCAGTTTGACAAAATCTTTGGTTTTGCAATTTGTGAAGTTTTGTGGACCTGTCAAGAGTTGGAAACGTCCTCAAGATCCTGCTAATGGAACTCCTAGAGGTTTCGGGTTTTGTGAATTCGAATCTGCTGAAGGAGTTCTCCGAGCATTACGACTGCTGACTAAATTTAACATTGATGGGCAAGAACTAATGGTACGTAGGGTTCTCTAATTTTTGTTGTGTCAAATTTTAGATGCACAATTGATTATGAGATGAATGGTGATAACTTTCAATATTTGGTATCTCTTTCAGTTGATTTTTCTGTTCTTATGAAGGGATGTAAATGAGTCTTATTGTAAGAAAATCTTTGGTTAACAATATGCGAAGGTCCTTGCTTCTTTCCTCATGAATAGGAGGTTTAAATCATGAAATTTTCAGCATCAAATTTGGTAGGCAGTATTTTAATGGAATTTCCTGAGGTTAAGATGCAAAAATTAATTGTTTGGCAGTCAAGTAATGTCAATTTTCTCTATCCTAGAGAAATTCCTGACTCATTTTAAGCTTGCTTGATCAAAACCAAGATTGGAAAAGAATAGGAAAATTTGCCACCAGAGCTGAAAAAAGATTAGAAATTTAATTTGGGAGAGGGAAGCAATTATTGCTCGCAACCACTTCTAAACGTAAATCCAGAATTTAAACGAGATTTGTAGGAATTATTCGGTGGAAGTAGTGGATGTTTCATTAATCAACTGTTATCTTTCTGTGTTTTTTCTTAACTAATTATTTGTATATGATCATTGTTCTTTCTATTCCATGGGTAACAGTTAAATGTTAATCAAGCAACTAAAGAATATCTGGAGCGGTATGTTGAAAAGAAAACTGAAAACTCGAAGAATTTCAAAGAGACTCAAGCTGCTGGGATTGACAAGGTTAATGGGACAGGCATTGATGATGAGAAGGGCGAACCTCCAAAATCCTCTGTCGAGGACTCAAACGATGATAGTGACAAAGGGAACAAAGAAAATCGTGACGTTTCTAACTTTGGTATTGTGAATGATGAAGACAAGGAAGGTGACCGTGAGGCTTTAGAGAAGCTTACTAGCATGATAGAAGAGAGGTTAAAGACTAAACCTCTGCCTCCCCCTCCACCACCTTCACAAGCACCTGTAGATGGTTCTGGGAATTCAAACTTGGAATTGCCATCTAAATCGAGAGATGGTGACGTTGATGTGGACATAACGAGAAGTCGTGAGTGTTTACAGCGATACATTCTTTATTTTACTTTTGTTGGTCTCCGTTGTGATGGAAGTTTTTCAAACCTTAACTGTTAATTGCTGATGTTATGCAGATGCAGTTGAAGGTAAAAATGATGAGACAACTAGTGACAATAAAGCTGGAGGCGAACAGGACAAGCCTGAAACGAGCTCCCCCGATAGGAGTAGAGCGTATGACCGGAGAAGCAGAGATAGAGACAGAGAACGAGATCTAAAACGGGAAAAAGAACGAGAGATTGAAAGATATGAAAGGGAAACAGAACGAGAGCGAGTTAGGAAAGAGAGGGAGCACAGAAGGAAGATTGAGGAGGCTGAGCGCGAGTATGAAGAACGCCTCAAAGATTGGGAGTATAGGGAGAGAGAGAAGGAGAAACAGAGGCAGTATGAGAAGGAGAGGGATAAAGAAAGAGAACGCAAACGAAGGAAGGAGATTCTTCACGACGAGGAAGATGAAGATGATGATTCGAGAAAAAGGTGGCATAGAAGTGATAGGCGAAGGAAGAGGCTACGGGAGAAGGAGGATGACTTGGCTGACAGGCTCAACGAAGAGGAAGAAATCACCAAGTCCAAGAGGAGAGATGAGGAAGAAAGGCTTCAGGAGAAAGAGAGAGATGGATTGAAACTCTTGCCTGGGCATGTCATGAATGGAAGTGAAATAACGGATCTGCCTGAAGGACCTAGTGCTGAAAGTAAAGAGAAGGCTGTTGAAAAAGATTATGATGGTGATTCTGGTAATGAAAACCATACAGGTAAACTTTCTTCATGTGTATCGGTTTCTTGGTTGTGTTTTGCGTTTGCCCCCCTAATGTTGTGTGTTGTTCACCAACATCCGTTGTTGGAAAAATTTGAAACTTCTCCAATGTTTTGAGTGTTGTATGCTTTGCATGGCAGGTGATGGGGTTTTACAAAATGGCACTGGTGATGAATCAAACATGGCATCAATGGCTGAACCAGATACTCGCAGTGGTAGTGCTCCCGCAAGAAAGTTGGGCTTTGGTTTAGTTGGCTCTGGAAAACGAGCTGCTGTCCCGTCTGTTTTCCATGAAGAGGATGATGATGATGCACATAAGGAGAAAAAGATGAGGCCACTGGTTCCCATTGATTATTCAACCGAGGAGCTGCAGGCTGTCCAACCTGCTGTTTCTGGAGCACAGCCACCAAATCTTGTTGCTGCTGCAGAATTTGCGAAGCGTATATCAAATGTTACTCCCAAAGAGGAGAAGCCTGATGTAGAACGAGAAAGAAGCAGACGCTCTCATGATAGGTCAAACCAACGGGATAGGGACCATAGTGAGGATGACATCAATCGAAACAGAGATGATAACAAAGAAAAAGTTCCTGAGTGGGACAGGGACCGGAACCGAGAGCATGGAATGGATAAAGTCAAGACGCCAGATAAACAGAAGCTTTTGGATGCGAAGCAATTGATTGATATGATACCAAAAACCAAGGAGGAGCTATTCTCATATGAGATAAATTGGGTTGTGTATGACAAGGTAAGCAACTCTGTTTATGCCCTGTTGCTCTGGTTCTTACTGCTTCAGAATAAATTGCATCACTTTCTTTTCTTATCCTGTCTGTTTTTACTGCCATGCCTACAACTTCATGCCCTTTAATGTTTTCGTGTTGTTTGTTCTGCACCTTTGCAGCATGAGCTTCATGAGAGAATGAGGCCTTGGATATCAAAGAAGATTACAGAGTTTTTGGGAGAAGAAGAAACCACATTGGTGGATTACATTGTATCGAGTACTCAAGACCATGTGAAGGCATCCCAAATGTTGGAGATGCTTCAGGCTATATTAGACGACGAGGCTGAAATGTTTGTCCTCAAGATGTGGAGGATGCTCATCTTTGAAATTAAGAAAGTGGAAACTGGTCTTTCTCTGAGGTCAAAATCATGATGGAGCATGTGATACCTGTTTCACTTGCATAGCTGCAAAGCTGATCTTGTTATTACAGTCGTAATCTTCGTAGTCTCTGATTTCTCATTATTGTAGAACAGAACATAGATTGCAATCTAGGTGTATCAATGTTTTCAATTTGAATCTTGAAAATAGAGTTGTTCCCTTCAAGAATGAACAAAATGTTGTTCTTGTTAGAGTTTTAACACATTTTTAACGAGGGAACTGCAAAAAGGGTGCCCATGTTTTTCAATTTCAGAGCATGTATTTTTTTTTAATTTTTTTTAACGAAAGGAGATCTAACAATTGAGTATCTTTATTAGCTTCGGTCTGAAAAACTATGAGGTGTCTTTTAAATGGTCTTTCTCCTGTTGAAAGATATTTAAATGTTTCTAAAACTTGTTTTGACTAGTAGTTAAAAATAAAAAATCAGAAGTTATAAAATGATAAATTTAAGACCTATATAACATGAAATGTTTTAACAGCACATGTTATTAAACACTTATCTTATAATTACAAAAACCAACTACAGCTACAATCACAAGATAAAAACAGCAGCTTTTCCAATCAGACACGGATTGACAGAACTTAGAATCTTTTTTTCAATCCTTCCCTGAAAGATAGTACTAGTGACTCATTTTCATCCTCAGGAGAAGTAATTTCCTAGTAATCTTTTGTCTTGAAAATTCGCATGGTCATAGCTAGACCATAGTTTTTGGTACAAACACCCTAGCTTTAATACATGGGTAGTACTTGTTAGTTTATAACACAGCCAATATTGCGACTGCATATGCTCCTAAGCTTACAAAAGTTTCTGAGCCTAAACCTGTGGTTCAGAAGGAGTGGAAAAGGAAGGGGAGTCAAGTAATCATTAAAAGTATCACATTATTAAGGACTTAAGTATAACCTTGTCTCCACCTTGGTTTGTAGGGTTAACTTCCCACTTGTTAGAACTCTAAACCCACCTGTAGAAGGCCATTGAGCTTTCCAACCTTTACGCATCAAAAAAATACTGTATTTTGAACTCATGGTATCCTAAGTGACCATTGCGCCTTCCTAGAGTCTTCCCAATATGATTTTTCGATAAGACAAAAAGTGAAGAGGTAGGGGTATTTGTAGGTGTTGGGGGTGGGGGTGGGTTAATGGTTAAGATTGAAAGTAGTGACTCGAGCAAGGAACGAGATGCAACCGATCTCGTTGATCTAATGGCTCAAAATTACCCGAAAAACAATCCCATGGCTCAAAATAATATGCTAAACACCAAGATAAATTGAAGGAAAAAGGTATGAACTATGATAAAAGGGAAATAGGAGAAGACAAAGTCGAAGGAGGAACCGTGTGATATTATTCCTTACTTGTTTACACTATTACAAGAAGTTCATATAAATACACATGGAAAAGACCTAGCATTTACTTCTATATCTTACACATAATAAGACAAGTAATTGTATCTTATGGAAAATGATAAAATCCCCTAATTAAGATGCTAATATAGGAAAGTGGTTAAACCAAGTATCATATCAAATCGTATCACTCCCCCTCAAGTTAGAGGGTGAAAAAATATTGAGCACACCTAACTTGGAAAGATGACGAAGAAGTAAATCCCGTGTTAATGGCTTGGTGAGCATATCAGCACGATGGGATTGAGTAGGGATATGGGCCATAGAAATGAAACCTTGTTGCAACTTTTTGAGGACCAAATGGCAGTCTAATTCAATATGCTTAGTGCGTTCATGATAAAACGAATTAGCCACGATATGGAGGGCAGCTTGATCGTCATAATGCAACGAAATGGGAAGTGGCAAATGAACCGACAAGTCAAGAAGCAAATTTGATAGCCAAGTAAGTTCACAACAAGTGGATGTCATGGAGCGATACTCGGCTTTAGCGGAGCTTCGAGAAACCGTGGGATGTTTCTCAATTTTTGATGAAATGAGAGCATCACCAAGAAGAATGCAAAAGCCAAAAATAGATCATCCAATCATCGGACAAGCGGTCTAATCGGAATCACAATAAGCGAGTCACGGTCAAGGGGTTATGTGATGGAAATAGCAAGCCTTAACCAAGTGGTACCCTTGACATACCGTAGTAGTTTGTGAGTTGCTTGAAGGTGTGATTCGCAGGGTGAAGCCATAAACCGATTGAGAATGTGCACATGATAGGATATATTTAGTCGATTGATGGTTAAATAAAGAGATGACCCACTAGGCGACGATAATGATCGGGATCGAGAACAACGACACGTGTGCTATTATTCAATTTGAGATGTTGTTCCATCGAATAGGGCTAGGTATTTAACTAAGAAGACCAAGCATCATCAAGAATATCTAGGGCATATTTACATTGGCTAAGAGGAATGCTAGAAGAGGAACGAGCAATTTTAAGGCCAAGAAAATATTTTGCTGAACCTAGATCTTTTATGTGGAAGGTAGAGTGGAGATGGTCTTTCACTACATTGATCAATACGGAATTGGTTCCTATGACAATGACATCATTCACATATACAAGAAGAGCAATGAAATCGAGCCACGAGTCGAGTAAATAGAGAGTAATCACAACATAATTGTGTGTATCCAAGGGATTGAAGGGAGGAAGAAAACTTCGCAAATCATTGGCGATTGGCTTGTTTAAAGCCATACGAGACTTGTTAAGCTTGTATACCAATGGCTCCCCCTTGGTATAGAACCCCGTGAAGGCCTCATATAAATATCTTCGTAGCATCCCTATGCAAAAATGCATTGTTCACATCTAATTAGGAAATTGGCCGAGAAGTAGCTACTACCAAAAAGGTGCAAACAAGTAGTCATTTTAGCAACCGGAACGAAAGTCTCCTAATAGTCAAGACCCTTAATATGTGTATAGTCCTTTGCCACAAAGTGAGCTTTGTACCTCTCCGCAGTACCATCTAACTTGAATTTCAGTTTATACACCCATTGGTACCCGACAACGACGTTTCCTGAGGTGGGAGGGAGGTCGGGACCTAAGTGTTATTGTCTTTCAATGCTCGAATTTCTTATGACATAAGCATCTCTCCAAAGTGGATTATGGACAGACCTCGGTGTAATTTCGAGGTTCGGAGGGTATGGTTATTTGAGTGACAAAATCTTTGTGGGAAGTTAAGAGATTAAAGTAGCTAAGATATTTAAGTAAAGGATATAGGGTAGAAAACGTACCTTATGGAGGAGTGGAGCTGCCTTGTATGAAAGATGAGAATTGGCAAACATAATCTCAAATCCAAGTGGATGGTTTAGTCGGGCAAGTGGAATGACATGGCGTGACAAGTGGAGAGGTTTGTTAATGACGCGAGCTTAATGGGTGAAAATTGAGATGGAGGTTGTATGTCATTGATAGGGGTGATGTGGTATGTAGTGGGAGATGGGGAAGAGGGTGTAATAGAAAAATTTGAAAATCCGAGCTAGAGAGGTAGGTCGGGAGAATGAGGGCTGGCCAATTTTTGAAACGGGTGTAGGATGAGTGGCGCACCCTTATGAGGAAGGAGATTTAGTATCTAGGTTAGATGGTGGTGGGCCGGTGTTGGTTGAATCAATGACGGGTTGAGGCCGGAGTGGTATGGAGTTAGGGCCCGGCGTGAGTGAAGGGATGAGGCTGGGATTGGTGGAGTTAGTGACGAGTTAGGTTTAAGAGGGTCTCGTCTCGCTTGGGGAATGGGCTTTAGTGGATGGAAAGGTTGGCCCATGCATGGGAAGGTGGCTATAAGGGGGCTAGGCAGAGTGGAAAATAGCTTAAGGATTTAAAAATAAAAAGAAGAAAGTTTCAAGAAAGGTAGGAGGGTTGGAATGTTGCGTTTTTGAAGAAAGCCGAGATCGAGCATGATCCAAGGGAGATCAAGTGATACCGGGAGAAGGGAGGAGGGAAATATCATCGGCAAATTCAATGGGATCATTGGGAAAAGGAATTTAGGTTAGGTTTGAGCTATGGTAGGTGGAGAAAGGGAATGTAATTTCATCAAAAATCACATTTCTTGTGAAAAAAATACGATGAGAAGATAAATGAAGCACTTTATATCCTTTTTGGGTTAATGGGTATCCAAGAAAAATGCATGGTGTGGCTCTAGAGGCGAATTTAGCTTTGCCATGGGTTTGGGTGAAGGCAAAACAAAAGCACCCAAAGATCGACAAAGGATGGAATTTTATTGTGCATGAGTTCATAGGGAGTTCCGTGTTGGAGTAATGGAGAAGGGATGCGATTTAGGAGGTAATTGGCTATCAACACACAATCTCTCCAAAATTTCAAGGGATGCGATTTATGAGGTAATTGATCGTCAACACACAATCTCTCTAAAATTTCAATGGTTGGTTTGCTTGGAATCGAAGGCTTGGGCAATGGACAAGAGGTGCTCGGTGTTTTCTTTATGCTATCCCATTCTCGCCGTGGGGTATAAGGGTAGGAACTTTGATGAAGGATGCCTTTAATGGCTAGAAAGGAGGTAAGGGATTGATTAAAAAATTCTAACCCATTATCCGTTCTAATGGTTTTGACTATTTTGCCGAATTGGCTTTCAATCATGGCTATGAAATTTTTGATGATATGTGGTACTTTTGTTTTGGCTTTAATGAGGTGTGTCCACGTAGCACGGGAGAAGTCATCCACAATAGTGACAAAGTATCGTGATCCTCGCTATTGTTTCAACCCGATAATGTCCCCTAACATCACGATGAATTAGATCAAAAATATTTATGATAGATGAATACTTTTATTAAAAGTCAAATATTTCTATCTAGCCATGTGATAGATTTCACATACCGATGGTCGTGGTTATTTTATTTTAGGAATATAGGAAGACAACAAATGCATTTTAGAATATGACAAGTGATCGAGGTGATGATGCCACAATTTTTGGGAGGTGCTAACGAGTTTGATAGGTGCAATGGAATTGGTAAGAGCTCTTGGAGGAAGCTGAACGCTTTTAGAAAGGGTGTACAAACCCTCAATTCGTTTGCCAATCCTCGGCCTTCTTCAATACAAGGTCCCGCACCAAA